CCAAACCCTTTAAGGAGCCCCAGGTGCTCGGCCCCCTGATCCTTTAAGCAGGTCGTCTGCATCGGCTCCGTAGCCGAGCTGGAGAAGTATGCCGGCAGAGAGATCAAGGCAGGGGGCTTCTCTTTGTTGGTACTGTACAGTAGAGGGTTTAGGGTTTAGGATTTAGGTTTAGGGTTTAGGGTTTAGGGTAGGCTTTATAGTATAATATGGGGCTTCTATTACAAGGTAGGTCTTGTATTCTAGGGGGGATTATCAGGGGCCGCTATACGGGTCTGCTCTACGAGAAGCAGGGTTTGGGGGTTGAGTGGCCTTTTCTGAGGGTTTTTAGTGCTACTAAATATGGGTTCACTCTACGTAAGGGTTCAGGGTGTAGGGCTTGTCTAGGGTTTAGGGTTGAGGCATCGCGAAAGGAGCAGCTAAGGCTTTAAAGCTTTGTTAAGGTTCACTCTTTATAGGTTCCGGGGTATGGGTTTAGTGGTTTTTAACGGTTTCTGAGGGTTAAGAGTCGAGGAGTGAAGCTCAGGGGGGTCTACTTCCCACGGAGGCATTTCAGAAGTGAAGTCGGAGGTTGGAATCTTCCCTGCTAGTCTCGAAGGGACCAAGCCATGATCGGAAGCTCTTATTTATATACACAAAAAAACCGTGTACCCCCGAAACCCTATTATACTTCCTAGGGCCCCTATGTCACTCTGACTGAGGACATCCATCGCCACTTCATAGACGACATCCAGCAGCCTGGCCAGACGCGAAGAAGATTGCAGACATGTTCCGGGTGTTCTCGGTTCATTATACGGTCGTTTGCTCCAGGGCTTCATAAACGTACGGCTACTATCAGGATCGATCACTCTTTCCTGGTCATTCAACACCCCGAAACCACAAATACTCATCTTCGGCCAGCCCCCAGGCTTTAAACGCAACTCACCCCCAGTTTCAGCGTCCACGGATTAGTGTTCTAAACTCAATGTGTGCTTTTCCCAGGATCCCGTCTCAGAAGGGAAAAGGCATGCTCAAGCGCATCGATGAGGCCCGCCAGTGCGCCGGATCCAGGAAATTCTCGAAGAAGCCTCACAATTCAGGGCTCCTTTGAGCTGTCCTGTAGACTCCTTGAGAAGCATTTCTTGGGATTTGAAGCTGCTTTGGAGAATCGTTTCAAAAGCTCGATACTTAGGGGTTCTATAGGGTTTAGGCCCTAACCTTAACCCCTGAACTGCACTTAACGGAAGCAACATGCCTCTGCAAAAAGCCATACAGCCCTGTAGAGACCTACAGAAGCCTCTTTTCAAGCCTTGAGCCTAGAACCCTGGAGCAAACTGGGAGTTTCAGAAAATAGGGGACCCTAGTATAGTACCCTAGATAGTAGGATCCTTATTATAAGGACCCCCCAAAATGAGGTACCCCTAATTTTCGGAAACTCCCAACTGCTTCAAAAGAAGCAAAGGGATTGCATCAGTCTGGTCCCCCTGCCAAAGGCAAGAAGACCCACACCCCAGGCCAAATGTGGGGGCCTTAAGAGTTAGAGTAGGCTTTGGGGTATATCATAGTATGATTCTTTCAAGGAAGCCCCAAAACCTTATTATTCTAATCATTAAGGCCCCTACATTAATTAAACCCTAAAGCCATGTCCAGCCTTACTGCTCCGAAGCCTGATGCAGCACCTCAAGACCAAGTCCCTGGGGGTTTTGGGTTTAGGGTTTAGGGTTTAGGGTCAGTTTAGGGGTTTAAGGACCCGTCAGCAACTTGAGTTTCTGAGCCTAATGCCTTACATCTCCTAGCCTCAAGGCCTTAAAGAAAGCCCTAAAAAGACATCCGGTATCTTAGGGTAACCTTACCCATCTTTGGGGCCAGGTTTTCGACGCCCCAAAACCCGCCCGCAACCCCTCTCACTTCTGTTGGGGTAGGCGTGCGCAGTCAAGCGCTCAGCGAGACCAAGCGGGTTCTGCTAGGGATGCAGAGCCTGCGAGCACACTCCTGAGAGGTCGCCAGGCGATCATCGCCGAGCTAGACACTCATGTATAGTTTATAACCCTAGGCCCTAGTACTTTGGCTTCTCACGAGGCGGGGTTGCATCCCTTCACGACGACTTGAGGCGCCTTCCAAATGGAGAAGGATTAGGGTGCCCCAGCCCAACCCTTCACGTCACGACTTGAGGCGACTCCGGGGAACCTCTAATTTGCTGTTTGACACATCCATATCTGCGAAATCCAATTTGTTTGATGGTGTTGGCTTGGATTTTGGCTGGCTTCGTTTTGGCTCGCCGTGAGTTGTGTATGGGTGGTCTTGCGGTGGGCATGTCTTCCACTACAGCGCGCTCATCAGCGCGCGACCTGCCGAAGCACACCCTAAACCCTAAACTGTTCTCAAACCCTAAACCTTAAACCCTTTATTTTACCTTTGTTTTCCCAAAACCCTTAACCCTAAACCCTAAACCCTTTAAGCCCTAAACCCTAGAAGCCCTAAGGCCGAAACCTTATAAGCCCTAACCCCTCCACCCTATAAGCCCTAAGCCCTAAGCCCTACACGCCCTCAACCCTCAACCCTATAAGCCCTAAACCCTATAAGCCCTAAACCCTAAACCCTACACGCCCTGAACTCTCAACCCTATAAGCCCTAAACCCTATAAGCCCTAAACCCTTAACCGCTTTGGGGCCAGGTCTTCGACTGCTGGTTCGAAAGCGGATCGATGCCTTATGCCTCCAAGCACTACCCCTTCGAGGGCAAGGAGGAGAGGTCTTCGTAGCGTGGGCCGAGGGTTTAGGGTTTAAGGTTTATAGGGCTTGGGGTTCAGGGTTTAGGGTCTAGGGTTTGGGGGTTCTTCCAAGCGGTGTAGGTAACCTTGAAGCTTATATAACCCTTAAAGGTCAACCCTTTTCAGGAGGCGAGGCCTTCGGGGCCCAAAAAGCACCTCTACTTACAGTCTATACAATGGTTTTTTAAGGTAATGGGATTAAGGGTCCCTATTAAGGGTCCCTCCTAAAGCCCTTAGATAAAGGGTTTAGCGTTTAGGGTTCCTGAAAGAGTGCCTCGAAGGGATCTGAATAACGTGCTTTGTAAGTTTACAGTAGGTTTCAGCGTTTAGGATCTTGGGGTCTTGGGGTTTAGGGATTAGGGTGAGTTTAGGGTTTAGGGGCCCGAAGCATGAGTTGAGCATAAGGATCCTGGTTGTGGGGTAGAATGCGATCCATGTGCGGATTCCAGAAAACCGTAATTGCGAGAATGGTCATGTTTATGTGGTCTGGGCCCTAAGATTGTGGTGTAGGGGTAGGAGACATGGGCAGTCCCAAAAAGGTAGGGGTTTTGGGTTGCGGGTGCCCTCTTCCGAAATCCCCAGCACAGCATTGGCCAGGTTTTTTGTCCAAACCTTCTATACCCAGCATGTAGATCAGAGGGTTTGTCTGGACTCCCTAGACTGAACCCCACACCAGCTTTAGCTCGCAACTGTTTCATTCTCCAAAACACCACAAGGCGTCAAACAATCCCGACTGACAGACCTTGTGGGACCCTAGCTAGTTTCCTCTTAGTTATTAATAACCTTATACCACCCCCTCCCCCCCGCCCCCCAATGTTTCAATTCGGGTACAGAACCCAAACCCAGCCCCCGAAAACACCCTTGTAGACCCCCAGTGGTATCCATTATGGTGTCGTCTATTATGTCTATAGAACCCCAAACGCACACACTCATAGGACCTCAGCCCAACCTTACACCTCGAAGTTTAAAAACCCCAAACCCCAAAAACTGCGGCAGGAGTTTGAGAAGAGCTTTCCAGCTCAGTTCATCGCTGAGGGTCTCGACCAGACCCGCGGCTGGTTCTACACGCTTATGGTGGCGCCGGCTTCGGTTCATAGGGATTGAAAGTTTAGGGCTTAGGGTTTCTTCCGTAAGGAGGGTTTAGGGCCTGTGTGGGATTTAGGTTTCAGAGTCTAGGGCTTGGGGTTTTGTGTTTTTTTCTCGGGTTTAGGGCTTAGGGCCTTAAGACGGTAAGTAAGGGTTCAACAGTGGGTCTTGGGGCAGAGGGCGTTTTCGGGGCGAGCAGGATTTCGGGGATGGCATGTAGGGTTTAGCCATGGTTATCTTGGTAACATAAGGCGCCAGCCTGTCTGGTACTGCTGGGGCTTTTTCATCTTCATGAAGGTACTCCTGAACAATCGTCATCATCATCATCGTCACCCTGGTAAGCATCATTTTCATCTTTGCCACCATCAACAACAACATCATCACCACCACCATCTTCTTCACCGTCGGCAACATGCCCGCCATATTTCCTACAGTGCGAGCCTTGGTTTCGTGCTCCTTCTACTGTAGGGTACCATTGCATGATGATCATCTTGCTGCTATGAGTGAACATGCGCTAGTGCATGTCTTTGCCGATTGATCGTAGCTGGCACTATCCATAGTAATGCTGTCTCGGTAGCAGAAGCATTGGTGGTAGTAGTCTTAAAGTATTTTCTCCGACCATTATCTTCCAGGCACTTGAGGTGTTCGTGCATCTCTCGACCCCTTAGCGACTTCGAACCCTAAACCCTAAACCCAATGTGTTGCTTGGATGAAGAGTTACAGGCACCGGTTCGTCGGGATTTTTCACATCCACGACTAGTAGACTGCGGCTATCTTTAGGGTGTAGGGTTTAGGGTTTTCGGGTTTAGGGTTTATGGTTTCAGGGTGTAGGGTTTAGGAGGCTGGGGGCGTGCGCTTGTGTTGCCCTAAACCGGTGGCAGCTCTCTTGTGCCAGGTGCTGGGAACCCACCTCTTCGACAGCCCCCCCTTCCAGAACCTGATTGTCAACGGCCTGGTGCTGGCCGCCTCCTGTCCACGAGGTTTAGGGGTTGATAGTGTTTGATAGGGGTTTAGAGTTGAGAGTTTTGGGATTTAGGCTAAAGGCTTTAGGGTTTACTATTTAGTATGTAAGGTTTCGAAGTATTTACGGGTTTAGGGATTACGGGTTGGTTTATGGTGTATACAGGGTAGGAACGGAAGTTCCCGTCAGCTAGGAGGCCGAGGGACCCACCTCAACAGCGCCGTAAGCCTCCAAACTAAAGGCCTGCAAGCCCCACAAGCAGCCGAAGACCCTAAAACCTAAACCCAAATCCTAAGCCTTAAAACCCAGCCGTTCAAGTGGCATAAGCCAGAAGCCCAAAACCCAGCCGAAGCTAGCGCCCAGAAATACCTTTTTAGACACCTGTACAAGTCCGCAACCAAGGCCTCATGGAACACTTGTAGACCGCAGGGCCATGACCCGAAACTCAGCCAACAAGAACAGCATCGAACACGACGAACAGCTATGCCCCTGAGCCAGAAACCCTACTGCCTTGAGCCCTAAACCGTATACACCCTAAATCCCAATACCTGCAGGCCCTAAACCCCAAATACCCAACAGGCTCGCCCGCTCGCTCTCCAAGGCAGATGGCAAGAAGATGTCCAAGCGCCTCAAGAACTTCCCTGATCCTCAGGACTTTCGCGTATTTCGGGAATTTCGGGAGTTTCGGGTTTATGGTTTGGATGGAGTCTACGAGTTACAGAGTATAGGGTTTTGGGTTGATAAGGTTCGTGGCTCAGGGAGACCCTAAACACTAAACCCTAAACCCTAAACCCTAAACCCTAAACCCTAAACCCTAAACCCTAAACCGTTAGGGTTCAGGGTTTGGGTTTCGACCCGAACTGGCGAGCCCCCGAGTCCCCAGAAGGTCGTTTTGATGCTGAGGAATAGACATTCGCATGATAGGGAAAAGCTTATTCTGATGTACGGTATATTCCTGAATCAAGGGTTTGGGGGAGTCTTTGGGGTATTTTCTAGCATGTAAAGTGCGGGCTTCGTTGTTTGTTTGTGTTAGCTTTAAGTTTTTAAGTTTTCGGACCGGTTTTGGTGTAGTTCAAGCCTTGAGGGTTTGGATTTTGGATCCGGCTTAGCTTTAGGGTTAGCTTTGGGACTATGAGGGAAGGCTATTCCCAGTGATTGAGATCCCTGGGCTCAGGGTGTTGGTGTTGAAGATCGCGGGCCGTATAGAGGGACTGGAGATCTTATTTTTAGT